ATTCACATTAAGGGAACCCATTTTACAATGTAACAACCAGGGATATGTTCCAAGACCTCGACTGTACTGACCCCCAGACCCATTTCTACCACTTTTACAAGACAATATTGGCACTCACCAACAGCAGACAGTACACACAAGCACAGGGCACTATCATAATGGGGCAGTGTGCTGCTACAATGAAGTAGCAGCCGATCCCATGTAGACTCCTGTGATCACTATGTCGCTGTACAGCATCACACGGCAATGTAATGCATTGCTACAACCAAGGGCAACGCGTAGGGAGTGCCCGTACGTTCACATGCACTCCCTGTGCATGTCGGTGCACCTCCTGCAAAAAGACACCGCCGACACTGTTGGTGGCGCCTGTGGGCAGTTGCCGCTCACCACCGGCATCTGTGGACGGTCCGTGATCGCCCCTGGCCACTGCCTCCGCTGCCAGTGGTGCCTGCGGGTGGTTGCTGACCCATGGCTGGCACTCACCCCTCCTCCCCCTGCCACTGGCAGCGCCCCTCCAGCCACCAGGGGCATGCACCGTTCATGCCTACAACAATGTAAGGCAACATGTACACATGCCCACCATGCCTTAGATCCTTGCAGTCCATAATGCATTCATCCTCACAACACATCTGTGAGGAAAAGAAATGCTCTCATCCCCCTTTTACAGGTTGGAACTGATAGTAATGGACTTGTACAAAGTCAGAAAGCAAATCAGTCACAGAGCAGGGACTTGGATCTACACCTCCTAAACTCTAGGATACAATCTTTACCCCTGGACTCCCCTTCCTTTCTACCTTAGCCTACACTCCCTCACATGGGTTAGCCAACTCAAGTTAAAAACACCTCCATACTTAAGCTAAGACATTTTGTATGTGGATAGTAGAGAATTAGGAGCTGCACTTAAGTTATAACTTGAGGGTTTTTGCAATAAAAGCAGGCCCATAATATGAGAGAGGTTCTTGGTAGGGTATTTCCAGAGTAATCCAACCTAGGAAGTAGCTTGCCTCAGAGCTGGTCCTTCTAGAAAAATATTCTAATAACTAGTTATTAGAATTATTCTAATTAATAGTATACTATTATTACTAGAATTATTCTAGTAACTAATATAAATTTAGTTACTTAATAGTAACTAAAAAAACCTGTAAAGCACATGAATACACGGTGTCGACCAAGACAACTTCACATCTATTGGCCAGGGATGTATTTTTGGTTTCAATAGAGCTTACGTGTCACCAGCTGACATGTTATATGCAACATCCCTGTGTACATTAACTACATTTAATCTGTCCTGGTAGCTACACCTCTCACGGCTGTGTTCTGCCCCCACCTTTCTCTGCTCCGCTCCACTACTGGGAAAATGAACAGCAGACGAATGTGACCACACCATTGCACCTTCCCTGGATTTGGCCCCACTATGAGTCATGGTGGCTGTATTCCAGTAAAACTTATGACTGCCTATACATGTGCTCAGGCTTGGGGCTAGGGGCATTTTAATTACAGCAGTTCCCAGACAGGTCACATGTATTAAGCCCTCCTCACATTTAGAAATGGCCATGGGACACTTTATCTAAACCTCTTTTGATAAGGTTTAAATAAAGCACCCCTGCAGCCGTTTTAAAATGCACGAGGGCTTATACACAGGATGGTAAGGCTCTAATTAGAACATGAATGAGCATGTCTATATTTCTGGTAAAGACAAGCTCAGTAATTCTGAAGTCTGGAAGTGATTCAGACAAGCACCCAGAAGTTTAGATGCCAAACTATCTAAGTCTTTCAGGTCTGCAAAGTGAGGGTAACATTTCCCAAGAAAAAAAATTACAGAGAAATTTATGCCATTGGCCATAGTTATTAAAGCTACACATAACATGAAAATATTTAATTAGACTGTGGCATTAATTTAAGCTCTGTTTATTGTAATTACATGATTCACCTGTCATGACAGCTTCATTGTTAATGGGTTTTTTATCAATATTTCTCTTGTATTTTTAATTAGATTTAGGAACATAGGCTGCCTATACATGTGCTCAGAGTTCGGGGGGCGGTGTTTTAATAAGAGTGATTCCCAAGAGCTACTCTAATTAAAACGCTGTACTGTCATGTGTATTAAACCCCTGAGCCTTTAAAATAGTTGCAGGAAGCTTTATCTAAATCTCATTCAGCAAGGTTTAGTTAAAGTGTCCCTCAGCCATTTATAAATGTCTGGTGTCTTAATACACATGACACTGCAGTGATGCTGCAACATTTTAATTAGAATGCAAAACAACTGGGTCAACAACTGAGCCACCAACCCCAACCCCCTGGTCTTGCAGGCACTATGTTGCATAATCTAGTAGAGCTGCAGCACTGCATAGCATTTCTTCTTTTCCTGTGATACTCAAAGCTAAAAAATCATAGACTAAATTTTGAAAACTGCCTAGTAACTTTGGATTACTAAGTGTCAGTGTTTTGATGTCCAACTTCAGACATCTTAACAGAGCTAGAATTTAAGAGAATGAATGAATGCCCTTCATTTTCTGAATAGCTGGTCTCTTTAAAGTGCCTCTAATTGGGCAGCTGAATTTTGATGGGCATCTAAACAACCTTATTTTTTAGTAGGACAAGCTCTAGGAGAGGTCTCCAAAATAAATGTCAAAAAGTTGATGAACTTCAACTAGGCTGTGTGAAATGGCTGTGTTTCATTTCAGTTTCAGATTCGACCGTTTCAGAGGACAGTGATTTGTTCTGGTGTTTCGGATCACTGTTCCATTTTGATTCAGCCGAATCTGTTTCAGGGTTTTGACGCTGTTTCAGTGCTAATTCAAAGATTTGGATCGGCGAGGGAAAGGCAGGCACAGCTGGGTGGCTGCAGGTTCTCTCGCAGCTCCTCTGACTGTGCCTGCCTCAGCCCCATCCCTTGCCCAGCCACAGCCTCCCAACACTTTAAAATAAAAAATTTAATTAAAAAAGCCCCGCACTCACCAGATGTAGCAACAGTGATCAGGGCCTCTGAGGGCTTGGGGCAGAGCCCCCCGTACAGCATAGGGCAGCAGAGGAGAGCAGGAATAATGCCCCCACCCAGCACCCATGTGGCAGCTGTTGCATTGCATGGGTGCAGTGCAACTTGGCAGGGTACCATGTGCTGCCCTGCCCAGCCCAGCCCCCACCCACCCCCAGCCTCCCAGCACTTTAAAAGGAGGGCTGCGGGGCTGTGCCAGACTCTTCCCAGGGGCACCTCTGAAACATTTCTGAAATGTTTTGGATCATTTTGTTTCGTTTGTTTCATTTCGGAGATGTTTCAGAGCCTCCGTTACATTTCAGATTCCGTGTTTTGGGTGCCAAAACAGGCCGAAATACCTCCAAAACGAAACAGCTGCTGAAATTCTGCACAGCCCTACTGATCACTATACGTGCATGCCTGTATAATGCCTACACTTTCAAATGTGAGGTTGCAGATGGCTTCATTTTATTAGAAAATCTGTGCTGGTGAGGAGCCCAAATGTAGACCATAAAGTGTACAAACACCCAGCATGTAAAAATAATCAGTGCTTTTATGGGCTAAGGTTTCTGAGAGTCCATTTTCCCAACATTCATAAATAAACATAACTTCAAAACAGGATCATCTTGTTAAAAATAATCATCAGAAACCAGAATTAAAACTGACGGTTGGACAGGAATCTCTGTGAAAATTTATTGACCCCTCCCTCCCCCATACCTTCTCTCTCTCTCGCTCTTTCTCTTTCAAGACTTCAGTATATCCTTCATCTCTAGATAAAGGGTTTTTTGAAAGAGAAAGAAAGATTTTAGGCAATTGGGCAGCAACATGAATCCTTCAAACTCTTACCATCTTCTTCTTCATAGTGTTCCATTCTCTTCCTCCGGATACAATAAATCAGCAGAACCAAAATAATGACAAAGACGACAGCACCTCCTGCAATGCACAGGATGAGAAGGAGGTCCAGACCTGCTAATCAGAGGGGGAAAAAAACCAATGTCAGAGAGAGAAAACAACTCCAAAGCTAAGTCAGGAGTTTGGTCCCAATTCTTCAGAGGACATACATGTGTGAAGCTTACAGCATGGATCATGATGGCATGAATACACCGTAGGTACACAGCACAATCTCAAAACATTTATACCAGCAAGGAATGAAGGCTCAGAACACCCACATGAGATATTAATGTTAAGATTTACTATTCCCACTTTACAGAAACTCAGGGGCAAATGGTTACATGCTTTGCTGTTGCTCACAACTGTAGAGTAGCCGAGTTTGGAATAGAGACCAGGATGCTTGGTTCCTAGTAGCTACCTCAACATATTACAGAATGCTACTGAAACAGAAAGAAGTACGCTTCCACCTTCCTGCCAAATTTTCATGGAATATATAGTTTATTTGGCCAGAGTTGAAGTAAACATTTAAAGCAGAATGTATAGGAATGCCAGGGCATTTTATCCATGTAACAATCAGTTACACCTTCTGCTAGCGATTGGCATACCCTAAATGTCTGATTATATATAGGCAACCAAACATTGGGATCCCCCATGAATGTTATACGGACTTCCCAAATGCACTGACTGCACAAAAATGGGTCTGCGTCTGATAAAAAACAAGCTTTTTTCAGTTTCCTACTGAGCCAGAAATACAATGAGAACAGATTGAAACATTACAAGACAGAGCTTACTCTTCCAGTGTTGGCTGAAACTTGGATGGAAGAGATGCATGCAAATAAAAAATAATGAGCAACACAAAAACGGGAAGCCAGACCTTACGCAGTTCAGAATAAAAAGTCTTGTTTGACTTGAGGGGGCAAGTTTATGGGAACTATTCCTTTCTTTAGCTAAACAGGCTTGACCACAGCCCCACTTCTTCATTCCAGCACCACAGTGCTTTTGGAGTGTCCCCCAGCCTCTGGACTGCCCAGTTGAAAGTCCTCATTCAAGAGCTCTTTCGAAGATTTTAAGGGCTTGCCTGAGGTGCAAAGTTACTTACTGGGTGTAGCCTGGCCAAAACATACAAGCGTGTCCCATATGATGATAAAGGCTGAAGTCCTTAGTCAGCCCTTTCTTACTCGAAGCTCTCATTGAACTGATCTGAATACAGACCTCAGATTTGGCAAAAGGGAAGTGGGAAAGTAGCCAAGGCACCCAGTAGAAGGGTGTAACACATCCATTTTCTACCCCTTTCCCTGTATGCAGCTTGCATCAGCTTTCCATGCCCACACCCACAGCATACCAAACTGCTACAAGTTACAAGCTGTAAGTGGTAAAGTGTTCACTGTAACCTGCAGGCCTTTTAATCTAAGAAGGGCAGTTCACCTTTCCCCTCCACTCCAAAAACGTTGTCTGGGTTTCCAACCAGAGCAGAAAAAAAGCCACAATCGTTTTTGTGTGTTGTTAGGCTCTGACACCTCTGCTATATTTGTTTCTTCACAACCTCCATGACAAATGCTTTTGTTAGCTGTCAGTGTTGCAGATAGACACCAAGCCAACCCAACATACACCCCAAATGGTTACTAATTTTCAAAGGTACCAGATTATACAACCCCACACCCTGCTAACTGATGTACAGACCCAGATTCTGACCCACGTATTAAGCTGATAAATGGACTTGCATGGCCAAGTGTAAGTCTGTTTTTCTGTGCTGGAGTCCCTGAAAATCCATTAATACACCCATTCATGTAATCAGTACTACCTTACCCTATGACTGAGTCTCACAAAAGCAGTGAGGAGAAGGACCCACCCATTTTTGTGTTAGCGGTTTTTCAGGGACTGGTGAGGGCAGAACAGGATCACACATAAATTGCTAAGTCCACTTATATGCCTAATAGGTGGACTGGAATCTGGTTCATACAGATCAGCTCCTTAGCCACAGTGAAGAATACAGAGGGCCATATCCATAGTCAATGCAAATCAACCCGGCACCTTTGATGACTGTGAAACTCAAGCTGAGCTGGGCCTGCTCACAAAAGTTAAAACAGAAAATATTGATGACAAATGCATAGTGCAAGAGGGTTGTAAGTTTGCGGCTAGACCTTCTGAAAAGAAATAGTGAGCAGTTTATCTTACTATATTTTTGATGATTTTAAGCAGGCTCCTATTTGTCTGGTATGTAACTGTGAAATGTCTATCCTTGATTAATTAGTATAGTAAATATTTCTTTGCAATTAACTCGTATTTATGTATAGGAAGAGACAGCCTGCATATGGTCTTTGATAGGTTTCTCCTCCTGATTTTCTCTTGTTTTGCCTCAGTGGTCCCCTTGATCTTCCAAGGACAGCTCCTCAAAAACCTTGTGTTTTTCCTGGTTGTCAATCAGTTTCTTGATATGTTCCAATTTAGTAGAAATTGGGAACCTCTTGTTACTGAGGAAGGTAATTCAATCAAAATTGGGACTTGCTGATAACCAATAATGAAGAGCATGATTAACAGGATTTTCCTGTTAATTATTGCTTGAGATCCTATCTTGATTTACACAGCTACAAGAATGCTTTGAAGATGCTGAGCTATGGGGAATAAAAAAGGAAACAAAACAGCTAACAGGGCATGCTTCAAGAATGAGATATCCTTCTGATAAGAACTGCTACTGTGGCCAGCTAATCTTTTAAATGGATCCACATCTTGAGAAGCTGACAAAACTGAGACTACCTCTTTGCCTGTACTGGTGAGATACTGTCACTTTTACAGCTAAGTACTGGCCTTTGCTTTGCTTTAGGTGTGTTTAACAGTGAATACTTGTAGTAAATAAGCCTTTCTGTCATTCCCCAAATGAGCTGTCATGTCAATCCTTTATACACTAGTCCTGAATCCCATTTCTTGGCTTAAAACCATTGCAGCCAATGAAAGTGTGAATTTACTTCAGCTGGGGATATAATTTCCAGTGTTTAAAGCATCAAACTCATACAAAAGGTACAAGCATTTAAGATATACTACAGTAAATATACCTTGTAGTAAATCCATCACCCAGTGTTCACATCAGTTTGGCCATTTAACAGGTCTAGTTCTGGCTACACTTCAGACTCACTCCTTGAGTCTTGCACCTGAGCTTACTGCTGAATTTCCACAGCAAACTCACCATGCTCGGCGGTGGCATGCCTCAAACAAGCTCTGGGCAGGCTTCAAACAAGCTCTGGGCAGGCCGTGTCCACAACTGGAAGCAGCGTAGCCAGAGTTGCATGGGACTTCCACTGGGCTAATTAGCAATGATAAGCAACCATGCCAATAGCTCATCCTCAAAATAATTAGTGCAGTCCTGGCACTGTGCAAGAGACAGCCTGCATGAAGGAGCACAGCATGCTGGAGGGTTCCACTTCCTGGCACAGTGAGTGTCCCGTGTAGATATGCCTCACTCACCACTTCCTCCATCAAACTGCAAACCCTGTATTTGAATTTGCCAGGCCATCATGCTTTTGGCTCAGTCAGTCCTATAGTGTAGAAGTCTGTCCACGTGCTGTGTGATATCTGACTCACTTTATTCCATTTTAGGCTTTTCTGTGAAACATACCTCCCCTTAGCTCTTGCAACCCTCCTGCATCCAGTGCCTCAAGCACAAGATCTGTCCCCCCTCCCTGAAAGCTATTGTTTAGTTCAAAGAATGGGTAAATTTCAGTTGTATTTTCCATTTCATTTCACTCCCACTGCACTAACTTAATGCTCTTGTGCTGAGCTTCTCAGGCTTGATTAATTTCCTTCAAACACCCACAGGTATGCACATGGCAAGAAAGATACCGATAGGACAGACTTTTTTCTAGCTGTAAAAGAAATCCATGCACCATTGGGACACCACCAATTTTGCGGATGAAAGAAAAGAAAGGGGGGAAAACTCTTTGTCCTCTTGTTCTTTTATTAAAAGTCAGGAGCAACTCCACTGAAGCTAATGCCATGTTTGGGCACAGCTAGAATAAAAATGAGAAATATCAAGTCCATTCTTTGCAAATGTGGGGTATCAACTGATATGCCAGCCAAATTTCAACTTGGGTCATTTTGTCCCTACAACTAAAATGACCTCTGCAGTTTCTGGCATGTCAGCAGCACATTACTGACATAATAAGGAATAATAATTTAAGAAAGGACTTTTGATGTCTGCTAGAGATGACTGTACACTGTCAAAAAAGCTTTCCTCCCTCCCACTCTTCCATTTTATTTTACTGAGATTCTACTGCTTTGGGAATTGGCAGCACCTGGCACCTATTTGTAAGCTTGTACATCTTAGGAGGACATTTTTGTAGCACAGACTTTGTACCTGTACACTTGATATATCTGATATCACTTTTGCTGGTCAGGCCATTTGAAACAGTGCACGTGTACTTCCCAGAGGCATTTTTAGTCCCTTGATATTCCACGTTCCAAGAGCCATTTGGAGATTTCCATTCTTTTATCAACTTGAGAGATTTGTCATCATAATGAATGATCTGAGAAACTGGTTTAGGATCCTGCTTTACCTCACATGTCAACTTAAGTTGTTTTCTAGTACAATCCCATGTGAGCAGTGGTTGTGGGACACGCTCTGAAACAGAAAAGAGACAAGCAGGTTGTGAAGATTTTTTTATTTTATTTTAGAGCATTCATTATTAAAACAGACCCAGAAATATCCACACCATGAGACAAAGGAATGTAGAAGAATTTAGAGGCATGTAAAGCATGCAACAAATTATTTTTGTGGAAGGATCTGAGATAAAATAAACTGAAACACAGATTATTTGATAAGGAGAAGGCCAGGATGTAGCAATGCCAACAGAAACAATGGAGGGAGAATGGAAAGCAAATTGGACCTGATCAGGTTGTCCTACCACAATAAGAAAAAAAAGGCCATCAAGAGACTGATCTTCAGGCTTGTTTTTTCATAAAACGTTTAACACCTTTTAGACTTACTGCCCATTCTCCTCTCTCCTCCTTTCCTATTAAGCCATAGAGCATTCCTTGCTAAAATAAGATTCACTGTTCACCTACAGAGAGAGGATCCCAGTCTCTTGGTTTTATTCTCAATTTATCCTTCCTTCATTCTTAGCTCCAGCATGCATTTTATTCCTAGGCCAACTCCTGTCCATACACAAAACTCTGGCTTGAATGAAGTAGTGCTTTAAACTCAAGCTTGGTTGGCATGGATTGAAGTGCAACTGTTGCTGATGCATGGGCTGGCCATTCTGTGGGGATGCAGCAGCATGTGTTGGAGGAAGCCAGCAATATGCTCCTCATAGTCTGAGTATTGTTTGCTGGTCAGTAACCAAGTTGGCACAAGCTGGCGTACCTCTGCACTAGCACATTGGCAAACATGGGACACATCTACATAATAAACTTGCCACTCCCCCTAGAGAGCTTCCCTCTAGCACACTGCTCTGCTCTGGGTGGGAAATCCCTTCTCAACTGGAAGCAGTGTAGTTGCCCCAGACAGTGCTTTGGGCTGGCTAATTAGCACTGCCAACTGACTTGGCTAGTAAGCTTGCCTCCATGCTAATTCACCCAGCTGTGACACTGCCTGAAGAAAGCTACATTGTTTCATGTCTTGTTCTGCCCAGAGCAGTATAGACAGTGTGAGGGCATGGCTCTGGAGCACCACAATTATGCTAAGTGGACGTGGCCACAGGGAGGAGTCTGAATGTGGGACGTGAACTCTCCCATCTGGGACTGTATGTAAAAATCTGAGCTTAGGACAGAGAAAAGAGCCCTATCTAATGTAAAGCACATTACCTGGGCAACTACATCCAGCTATAGATGACAATAGACACTCAGTTGTGACAGAAAGGAAGAGAGGAGGTAGCAATGTCCTCTTTTCCACACAGAATGAGCAAGATCTACTTGCAAAGTTACATCCAAGCAAACGTATATTGCAGTTGCTTTGGAGGAAGAGCAATGCCACATTTGGGAAAGTGGGGGTGGAAAAAAGAAACAACAGAAAGGCTTTACTTCACTGGAGCACAGAGGCAAGAGTATACTGCTACACAGCTCTAGCGTGATGGCACCTGCAACGGTGGACTCAAGTTTGAGCACCTAGAAGACTAGAGAATATTTAGTAGGGACCCGAAGGTAATAATTATAAAGGAAAGAGGAAAAAATTTAAGGGGCAGTTGTGATCAGAAAAGTGTCTATAAAAGTGGCAGGTAAGGTTCTTTGAGTGAATGAGATATCTTTTATTAGACCAACTAAATGGTTGGAAAAATAGTTCTTTGCAAGCTTTCAAGCACAAACACAATTCTTCTGGCATAAGGAGAATCTGCTGATGTGTGTGTGCTCTCCTGGGTGTCACCTACTTGTCTCACACCTATTGTCTCCCAGGGCCTCTGATCCTCACTACCACACATTTTCGTTTTTGCAGACCTGCATTTTGCATGTTGGCTTCTATTCCACCCAGGAGAGCACACAAACACCAACAGACTTTCCCTAGGTCTGAAGGAGGGTGCTTATGCCTGAAAGCTTGCAAAGAACAATTTTTCCAACTATTTAGTTAGTCTAATAAAAAATATCCCATTTACCCAAAGAACCTTGCCTGCCTATGTCCTTAGACCACAACGGCTATAATCAACACTCCTGTAAAAATGGCAACTTTCCTCAGAACTCAGGCCTGTTCCTGGGCAAACTCAGTGTCACTCTTACTGCTTTGAAAGAGAGTATGACTGTATGCTACTTTTTCTGTCATGTGTTCCTAAAAGGCACATCGCTCTGCTATGTATGAAAGGCAAACAAAGACTTGACCGGTCTTAGTTGTCGCTTACTGTGCTACTGGAGGGCATTCGTATATTATGGCAATGACCGCAGAATAAGAATCTATATAGAATAGAATATAGGTACTTTAGCATTCCAGAATATCTGACAGAGTAATTTGGTTTCTACTTGTTCACTGTAAAGTTTTTACTACGATATAAATGCAGATCTCTGTTACTGACAATGATTCATGAGCCACAAAGCAGCCAGCCCAAGAAACTTTTAAAATGCTAAGAAGTGCCAAAACTAACTGAATGGATTCATAAGAGAGTTGTTCAAATTGCAGAAAGGATTGTCAAAATACGTGTTTTTAATTCCCCCTCCTTTTTTCCATTCTTTAAAGACTGTTTAGATATCAGCAAATCTCTGAGATTCAGAAAACTGAGGAAATTCCAGCCAGCTCTCATAATCGGTCAAAGAAAAAGAAGCTTTAAACATGTTCCAACATGTTCCCTGTATTTTCTATTTAAAAGTTGGTCCAAATTTACTAAACAACAAAAAATTCAACCAGTTCTTCTTTTGAAGGATGGACTGAGGAATAGAAAGCAGGAGACATGGGAAAATTTACAATAAATACATTTCCACCTACTTCATCATTTACTAATGATTATGCATCATGCGCAATTGAAAATAGTTTCCATGTTTACATCCTGCATTGAGAAAGTTTCACTGAATTAACAGTAGGATTGAAGGCTAAGCATGAGGAGGGAAAAAAGAAAGAAAATTGATTAGAGAAGGAAAAGGCTTCACAAATGCATAGGGTGCAATTCTATACCACCTTTCCTAAAACACTGCTACTCACTGTTTAAACAAGCTAAGAAGCTACTACATATCAGAGCACTGAATGGGTAGTTAAGAAAAGGATCTCTGCATAGAGTGGTATAAAGGCTTGACTAGTGCTATCAGCTGTCAATGGGTATACTACAACTCTCCCAAAGTGGCTTCTGACATTCCAGAAGTTAAGTCCCCTCAAAGGGAAGAGAAGATTGCATAATCATGAAGGGACCCGCAGTGTATATGAACCCTACTAAGAGAAGTCAAGTACATGGAGCCCAGATGAGTCCAGCAAAACATGTAGGACCATGTTTCAAAAAGTGCTACAAACATCTTTCTCATTTTACTCTCTTTCATGAAAAGCTTAGAAGAGATCTATCCCCCTGCCCTTCCCTCCTCCTATATTCAACCTCTGCCTCCTATCTCTCCACAGACAATGTCTGCGTATTTTGTGTGGCAGAGCAAACACTCACCATAAGCTAAAAATTTGTTGTTACACACTGATGGAGGGGTGCTTGCATGGCAGAAACAGAAATGTGGCAGTTGATAGAGAGAAGAAATCAAACAGCAGGGTGAGAAGAAGGGAGCAGAGGGACTCAACAGCATCAGAAATATCCTCCCATGGCACCAGTCCTCAGCAGAGGAAAAAAAGAAGATGGAGAGCATTGCTTGGGATGAAAAAAGGGTTTTATACCTAGCAGTAGTTACCCACCAACAGAAAAAGGGAATAGGGACAAGAGGAGTAACCCTGCCAGGTAGTCGTGCAAGAAGTAATGTTAGGGAGAAAGGGAATAGTGAGACAGTTAGCAAAAGGGCAGAATAATAACAAAGGAGGCTCTACCAGCTGAGCAGGGAGTGAAGACAAGCCCACAGACTTACCAACAAAGCTCAGAACAATGTTCTTTGTCTCTGATTGAGTACCATCAGAGTGATAGACTTCAGCTGTGTAATTTCCACTGTCCTGTTGCACCAATTGTTCAATTTTCAGGGTCCCATTTCCAAAAAGGCAATACTTTTCTTTGTTGGCGTAATAAACTATTGAAGAATTGATGAGTTTTGCAATCATATGTCCTTCTTTCGACCATTTTACCTCATCTATTTTCTCATTTACAGGACTAGAAATATTCAGGAGAACAGACTCACTCAGAATTGCTGAAACCTTTGCAAGTTTTCCAAGTGAACCTGAAAAGAGAAAAATTGCAATTTAGATGATTAGTGAACATCCAAAGTGTCTATGGAAAAGGGCTAGTGGCTAACACTACAATATTAAATGACATGGTTACAAATGCTTCCCCACTGATCTCCAAGCCACTCTTCACTAATAACGTGTGTTAGAGGGATGTTTTCATCTCATGGTCTGAACAGCAGCGACCAGCCATTAAATAGTTATGCCTCCCAGCACCCAGCTGTAATTCTGATGCATTGAGAAATAAAGAGCAAGTTCCCAACAGGTAGCTCACGGGGGGTTATTTTGAAACTTGGGCCTGTTTTCAAAATGACAGAGCACTCACAGCTCCTGAAGTCAGTAAGGGTTTTAGGTGCACAGTACCTCTGAAAATCTGGCCACACTGTATGGGCCAGAGTCTGTTGGGCATCTAGGCACCTAAGTACAATTCTATTCTATCCTGCTCCAGTCCTGAAAACCCATTAATTCAGGGGTCTATGGCACACAGGCCAGATGTGGGATTGGATCTGGCCTGTGAAGGTCTGCTTCAGTCTACATTTTACTAAGGGAGCACAGTCCCCAGCTATTTGATATGGCCTGGGTTTTGTTAATGGCGCACAGATTACCTCCAGCTGCTAAAGCCAGCTGCCTTAACCTGAGTGGAGGGCTGTTCTTCTTTGTTGCAGCCTGTGCTCAGCATCCCTGGAGTGGCTGGGGGGGGGAAGAGGGGTGTGAATGCCGGCCCATAGCATTAGCCAGGTTGTAAGCTGCAGCCCCTGTAAGTAAAAGGCTGTTGACCCCTGCATTAAATCATCTACTTTGGTAAATGCCCATTTGGTAGATGCCCCAGCATCTGTCCCTTCCAATCAAGTCACAAAAAGCAGCAAGGAGGAAAAGGACCCAAATTAACAAATGTTCATGGACTTGAACAGTATAAAATAGAATCACACTTATGCACCTAAGTCTACTTAAATGTCTAATAACTGGAATAGGATCTATCTCTAAGAGTCTCCAGATGGGCAACCAAAAGTACTAGACACTTTCAGCTATGTAAGTACAAGGCTGACATTTTCAAGTGATGAGCAGTTTCTAATGCCATGATTTTTGTGCCCAGCTTGGGATAGCCTAAAAGAGCAAATGTTCCACGTTTTCTGAGAACGAGGCCATTTTAACATGTGTTGAGCTGGATACCATTGGACACCTCAATTCACTGGTTAAAAAAAAATGCAAAATATAATACACAAACAGGGAATGAGTGACAGACATGGGACTAAAACCCAGGCATCCTATCTCCCAGTCTCCTCCTTCACTGCTCTGACCACAGGACCTCTGTTGCATAGGTTCTGTCACAGAAAAAAATGACAGAAAATGAAACAGATAACCATGACCATGCAGCTTTTCAACAGTTCTTTTTGTATCATAAGAAAGCAAAATCATGGTGGAAAAAGCAATTTTTTTTCTTGTTTACACCTACCCTTTGACCCCATTTCCCATCTGCAAAATTGCTAACAACAACTCTATCCTATGGTGGAGTGCAAGGTTTGTATAGAAATGGACTGCTCAGCACTGCAAGATACTGGGCGCATCTACACTTGCAAATAATCTGGGAGCAGTTTACTTTTCAGTAAACTACTTAAGATTAAACTCTCCTGGGCACACATCTACACATGCAGGAACACAGAAGCAGATTTGCTGCTTCTAGTAGCAGACTGCTTCTGCTCCCTGCGGCCCTGCAGCAGCCAGGGGAAGCTGTAGGCTCCCCCTAGGCATAGCCCAGGGGCCAGGAGACAGGTGCCTCCTGGCAGGGGCTGGGGCATTGCTCCCTGCCACCAGAAACCACCTGTTGCTGGGGCGGGCTCTGCCACCAGAGCCTGGGCAAAAACAATGTCCCCCTGCCCAGGCAGCAGGGAGCTCTCAGCCCCAGCTCTGCAATCATGGGGCCTGGGCTGGAAGATCCTTCTCTCCCAACCCAAGCCCTGCGGTCATGGTGCTCAGGCTGGGAGATCCTTCCAGCCTGGCTCCTGTAACTGCAGGGCTCAGGCTGGGAAAGAAGGATCTCCCAATACCAGCCCTGTGACTGCGGAGCTGGTGCTGAGAGAGAAGGATCTCCCATCCTGGATCTCACAACCATAGGGTTTGGGCTGGAAAAGAAGGATCTCTCAACCCAGGTCCTGAGCTCACAGGTCTAGTACTGGGAGATAAGGATCTCCCAGCACCAGCCCTGTGATAGTGGAGCAGGACCTGGGATATCCCTGCTGCCAGGCCAAGGGGACACTGTCCCTGACCTGGCAGCTGGCAGCTCCCTGGGGCAGGAAGCAAGCACCCTGCTGCCTGGCTGACCAGGAGCGCATTTGCTCCCAGTCAGGCATGTACATGTGCGCTACTGCACAGTACGTAATCTCAAATATATTTGCTCCTGGCATTCAAAAGTAGCAAATTTACTCACGATTAGGCAATTACTGCACGGTAAGTGTCTGCAAGTGTAGACGCAAATGCTCACTATGCAATAATTTGCTGTACTGCACAGTAAAGCATCTTGTGTAGATGCACCCATTGTGTCACAAAAGGGATATATACTGGTAGTAAAGAAGAGCAAAAGTTGCTACATGTGAATCTTGCTATTATGGAAAAAAGAGCATGCATCTTCCCATGGCACCAGTAACATAACTAGGAGCAAGGGGGCACACTGGGGGCAGCAGACTTGGGCACTGTCTTGGGGGAAAGGGGTGCAAAACTAGCCACCACTATGGGCAGCACACTAGCCAGTGCTGTCCCACAACTACCTAGAGATCGGAGCTGCCCTGTTGTGCCTCTACATTGCATATTCTTCCGTAAGATCTCGTGCACGTTTCTGTGACAGTCGCAACAGGGAGACCTCACTTATGAACACAAGAAGCAGACTGGAGTTTTCCTGTTTGCTTGTTGTTTTATTTTTTTTGGTTTTTGAAGCCTGAAGGTCATTCCAAATGAGGAACTGACTCTAGGCAGATACTTGTGTAGGCCCCTTGCCTGCCTTATGCAGTCAAGTTGAGGAATAATAATGATACTGAAACAGACAAGACAGGGGTTAAACATGTGCTTACCAGCTTCAAATGAAATAAATTCATTAGCAACAAAATGTTCATTCATAACCAGGGATTATTCAGTTTTCCATTTCCTAAATTAAATCCCCTCCAATCTACAGGATAAAGCTTATTAGCACAACAAGTTACACCAAACTATTTTTAAACATTTTAAGCCATTTCTCCTGTAGAGAAAAGCAATGTTTATAAATCATTTATTATAATCCTTTATTACAATACCTAATCCTTGATTATAAAACTTTTATTTGTATCTGCGAGATTATAGTGAAATATATCATCAAAAGGAAAATGAAACCCTAATTGCTGCTCCATAGAGCTAGCAGTATTTGAGCTAAGCAAAGTCTTAAAATATTGTGTATTACGTCTATATAATTAACATAAGAACCTGGGAAATCACTTACTAGAGCCTACCAAACCAAGGAGATGTTATTACTGTACTTTCAAGTTCCGTAATAAGTATTGGGCATTTCTAACACTATAGTCTGAAATCAGTCAGTTTTTGAAGGAAGTGTTTTAATAAAATTAATGTTCCCAGTAAATACATTTTAAGTGATAAGAAGAAAAGTAATTCATTGAGTTACTTCTGCTCAGAACTACTATCAGATATCAAGAATTATTTATTATTACATGTATTCTGCATTATATAATATGCATTTTACATGTGAAAAACCAAGCAAATTTTGAGGGGCAACAGTTTTGTAGTATTCCAATTGGCAGAAAATGCTGTTACATCTTTAAATGTTGGCATGATCTCCTAAATCAATGAAACAGAGGTCTGAGCACCCCCAGCGCAGAGTCACCTGCGTGGATAATGAAGCGGCATTTTTGATAGTGTTATGAGACAGAGCAATTAAAATGTAGCAGCAAATAGCTCAGTTACAATCAGGAGTGTAGAATACTGGAGGTGCCTTGAGCTGTAAGTGCACTCATAGTCAGTTCAGTGTTCTCAGGGATAAAGCACTGTTGTGTTTCAAGGTTTTAAGTATTTTCAACAGATAGTTCCATTTGAAGGAATCAAGAGTGTTTTTTTACATCAAGGTCATAACAATATTTTTTTTTATCTACTTATTTTGCCATGAAATATAGAGAACCCTAAACACCCATCAAGAATGATCTACAGTTGAATGATAAGAATAAATCTGTGAAAGCTTCTTGTGGGGCTGAATCCATTTCACCTGTTCTAATCTGTGAGTGAACAGTTTAGCTACGTGTTTAGAGCACAATTTTTAAAAAGACCTAATTTTTATAGTAGCAGTAGGTATGAAACCCACTATTTCCTAAACCCTCTCTTCTCTTGTGCTTTTGCCATCTTTTTCTGAATATAACTTGCACTTTCAATCATTCTGTTTACCTTCAGTAAAAAGTTAGCAGTTATAAAAGAGCTGGAGGTCTACATAATGCATAGTAAAGTGTATCTTAAATTGGGTTACCAAAAAAATCCTATAATGGCTTCACTGATGGCAGTCCTCAAGTTAAGGATCATGAACTTGAAAACAGAACTGTTCACTAATTATTATTCTAAATGCAAGGGGAAGCTCAGGTCTTCGGTTTCCCTTGAGTAAAGGATGAATAAAATAACAATACTCCAAAAATCTCACGGCATTTTGCAAAGGAAGGTAAGTACTAAGGAAGGTAACCTCTGTTGCCAAGAGGAAAAGGTATATCATTAGCCACAGTATGGACTGGAGCTGACAGGTTGCTTTGTCTCTGGTCCAGAAAAGGCCTTGAATACCCGCTTCACTTTAAACACGTGAACCATCCTTTTGAAGTCAATGGGACACCTCGTGAACTTAAAGTGAAGTCAATACTTAATACACAGTGCCAGGCTGAGGGACAAGACTTCAAAAGTTTTCAGGATTGACCCTAGGAATTTTAGGGTGAAAACCTGCCTCCTTTGAGATCAGTGTCAAAACTCCAGCCCCCAAATATCTGAAATTTGCTGTTCTGGAGGGGCTAACAAAGATATAACAAGGTACATAACACCCTTTAAATGTCTGATGTACTTGCTCTGAAGTCTAAGTAATTCTCCTAGCACCAAGACTAAATTTACCCTGTTGTAAGTCCAGTGAATTTAGTAGGATGAAACCAGGGAAGAATGGGATGTGATTTTTACAGAAGATCCAAGTGGCTTCCCATTTTACTGTCCCTCAGGCTTTCACATTTAAACCATAAAAGCAGAAGCTGTTTGGCAGGGATCCTTATCAGTCACATTTAAGTCTACATATTTAAGTTCAATCAGAGAAATGAACCAAAACATATTGGTAATAACTTGCTCCCCTGGTTTTAACAATAATTAAGTCATGAGAGAGGTTTAAAATTTGTAGTTTAGACAGGACCACTACAAATCCTCATAACTAGCTCAAATCTATCAAATGTGCAATTATGATGAGATAGGTCTCATCCACCTAACTGGATTCCCTGATTCCATTATAGTCAGGATATAGGTGCCCCAAATGCAGCTGTCATATTAAGATGCCCCCAATCCTTGTATGAATACAAGGATTCTGCCACTAGTTTAAACACTATAAATGCAACGCAAAGCCAGTCTGAAAGAGCCAAAAGCTAATACAAAACTCACCTTTTACACTGAAAAATAAAATCACCAGGTACTTTGCTAGAAAAATCTCCTTAAAGTTCATTTTCAAGACCATATATCCACACAGTGCGTCTTTGCCTAAAGAAAGTTCCTGGCAAGAGGTCCTGCTGCAAGCAAGTAATCTTTCGGCACCTTAGTCCAGCCCTTTAACTCCTACCCCCTCCTCCTGCTGTTTTTTGTACTACATTTCATTTCTGTTACAAGAGCATTCAGGGTGGAACTGGGTTCCCTTTTCTGTTCATAAGGTACCGTATTTACTCAAATACAAGATGAATTCCCCCCCATCTCCCCTACCTCACCCAATCACCATGGGAAAAAGCTTCTCATCTTATATATAAGGAGACTCAACAAATGCATTACTATTAAACTGCTGCCAAAAGCAGCATGTGCTCAGTAAAGTAAACCAACTTAAAAAATTAATTAAACGTAACAAACACTAAATATGACTATAACATACATGACCAGAATTGGGCAAACATGCTGATGGGAGCCTTTTTTTTTTTTAACCAATTTTATTGAAAACACATTTATCACCCTACACTTACAAAGCTACATGTATTATTTTACCAAAAGTTCATATCACAGAAACAACTACATATCAAAAACATAGAGCTGGACCTTTAAACAACTTATAACGACTTCTCACAAAAACTAAACACTTACAGAAATCTTTTTCTTCATAAAGAACCCCATGAAAAAACTACTACCTCAGTAACCACCTGAAATTCTCTGCCTGTCCCATCAGTCCTCTCTGTTGGTTCAGTGAAATAAATGTGTCTAGTCCTTTTTCCTCCACTTCTACTCGGTTTCTTCCTCTCCAATTTCTAGCTTGTCTCAATCAATGCAGCATTTTAGTTCATGCAGCCTCAGCTTCATACACTCTCTTTCAGTGAAAGCCAATCCCTTAAACACCCAGAGGTTTCTTATTTTCCATAAACTAGTTTTAACACATGCTAATAAAGTTCTTAATAGTGTTTCCTCTGGTCCCTTTGGTATGAGTCCATATAGTACCATCTCCTGTGCTAATGACAGGTTTATTTTGGTGATATGCAGAAAGCAGTGGACCTTTTCCCATACCTCATTTGCATATGTACACTCCCAAAACATGTCCTACCATTTCTTTTTCCCTGCACCTCTCTCTTGGGCACCTATGATGAGCTTGTCAAGCTCCATCTGTGTTGCATCTCTCTCACTGGCAAGATATTTCTTACAACCATCCACACTAGGTCCGCATGTTCTCCTTTTAGTTATTTACCCACCACTGCTCCCCACACCTTCTTCACTTGTCCTTCTATCTTGCTTTAGCTCGCTCTTCTTGTACCTGTCTTCCTTCTGTGTCTTCCTTTAGCAGATGCTGGAACTTTCTTTGCAGCTCTTTTAGCACTTTTGCTCTTTTCCTTGGGCATCTTTGGACTTTCTTCCTGAAGAGTTCTCCCACCCTCTTCTTCACCATCATCCACCATTCTCTAGTACTCCCCATTCTCTAGTACTCCTAAAATATTTCTTCACATACTGTCTTGTGTACACTTGTCATGTCTCTTCATCTTGTACCAGCTGCACATTTAACTTCCACAGTCCCTTCACTCTCATGGGGCTCTTCCCAAGACTCATTTTTGATGGCTGAAAAGTAATATTTAAAGAATTGCTTTTAGAAATTGGCTTCTAGGTAAAGTAGATATTGCATTAGAACAATGGTCCAGGGCAACAGCAAGGGTTAACTGTTTCTAAAAGCCTGTTTGTCACAAAGTTTCACAGCCTTTAAGGAATCAGGTCTGAGGCCAATGGACAAACAGACAGGGAAATTTTCAGTGTTCTGTAAAAATCCATAACAAAAGATGGGTTTGCAACATTGGAGCCAGGTCACAGTGACCAGCTACAGAGCTCCTGTGATTTCTAGTTTTGGTGGATGGACTAAGTTAGGAGGCTGGGCATGCCCAAATTAAGACACTGGTAAATGCCCAAATTAAGATGTATGCATGTGATGGGTTTGTTGGAACAAAGGAGTATGTGGCAGAACAGAACCTGGACAGGAGGATGACCGCAGGGAAACCAATCAACGATACCTGGGAATGAAGTGTCATCAAAGAAAAAGAATACAAAAGGAGGGATTTCAGAGCAGCAAAAAGCCACCATGGACAGAGGGCACACTGCCATCCAACTTACGCAACCACTTTGTGGGGGGTGGGCCTCAGCCCTTGACCTCCAAGACTGATGATATTCAAGAAAGAACAACAAGGTGAAGCTTGCACACTTGCCAGGAGTACCTTTCCTCTGTGAACCCTAGGACTGGTAGATATAGAACTGGGAGGATTATTTTGTTTGCCTTGCCTGCATTACTCACTGTGTATCAGTAAAATTTGCCTATTATCGAATGAAAGAAGCCATGGTCAGTCTGAGTATTTGGGGCCGCCCAGAACAGGGTATCTGGATCATAAATCCAGTGCCAACAATTTCCACATGCAACATCCAGTGTTCACTAAAAGCCACATATATGGTTTCTTTCTTCCTTGTCTCTATTTCTTTTGATACATGCAAAGTCAGTTCTTGATTGTTTCTTTCCACGGGGGTCTGTTCTACTGAAAACTTTCTCCCCTGCCCACACATCTCTTAGTGACCCTTCTTTTATTATATTTGTTAACTGTCTGGATGAGCTGTATAACGCTCAGTTTCCTCCTTCCCTTGTTCTGTCACCTACTTCAATTATACAATTGAAGTCTCCTGCTATTCTGCATTGTCTCCCTCTGGCCACATAAAACACTAGCATTCTAAGCAGTGCATTCCTTCCGTCACTCTCTGATGGTGCATATGCATTCAAAATTTCTAATTCTGTTCCCGCAACTGATAGTAACATTCATTCCAATCTGCCACTGCTTACCTCTTCTACCTGTTTTGCTCTCATCTCTGGGTTCTTGAATAATATTGCTACCCTTGCTTCTTTGTTCTCATTTGTCCCTAACCATCAGGATGGTTCCCATCTCCACCCTTTCTTAAAGCATTTATAACCCCTCTCCCTCGGTATACCACATTTTTATAGGTAGATTATGTCTGCCCTTACATGGTTCAATACTGATTCAATCTGTTACAATCTTTTCCTTGTTAAGATACTCCTTACTATGCTAAGTGAAACTATTGTCAATACCATTTATGCTTGTTTTAAAATGACTGCACCTATTCCTTTAAGGTTTGTCTATGCTTGCTTTGAGCTGAGTGTGCCTGTCCTTTTAAGGCTCATCTCTGCCACTGCTGGGGTTGGTCAACTCCTCCCCCTCCACCACTCACATTCCTGTAGCTTCACCAAGCTGCTGGATCACCGTTGCATATTCCCACTTCCCCAACACTTCCCACCTGCTGGTCTCCACTCTGGGATGGAGCCCAGAAGCATTAGCAGCAGGGAACTGCTCTCTGGCTCTTTTTCCAACTCACCTCCCTCATTATCAGGTTTCTTTTTTCTCATTTTCAGCCCCTGCATTTTCTTTCTTTTTCTGGCCTCTCTCTCTGGTTCTCTCTCTTGCTTCATCTTCACTTTTGTTGTCAGTAGGCTGTCTTCTCCATCACTTAGGAAAAGTGGTAAAAGGGCTCAGCAACCCCCTTGGCTCGACAGGGAACTCATGGACCTCCTATGTCTAAAAGAGAGGCTTATAAAGAAGAGAAGACAGGAAGCACCAAGGAAGAGTACTCTGCACTGGTCCACACCCGTAGGAAGCAAACTAGAAAAGCCAAGGCTGCAGCCAAACTCAAATTGGCTACACGAATCAAGGACAATAAAAAGTCCTTCTACAGATACGTGGGGAGTCGGAAGAAAAACTAGGGCAACATTGGACCCCTGCTAAACCAATCGGGGCAGATGACAACTTACACCCAGGAAAAAGCCAGTCTGCTTAATGATTACTTTGTGTCGGTTTTTCACCGCCCTGCCTAACATGATACGGGATGACCAGGGTGAGGGTGATTGGCGTAGATCTACCATCGGTGTAGATCTTGTGAGGGAGCACCTTGAGAGGCTACACACCCACAAATCAACTGGTAAAAATAGATTGCACCCAAGAGTGCAAAAGGAACTGGCAGACATCATAGCACAGCCACTGGCAAGGATATTCAAGAACTGGTGGTGCTCAGGTGAAGTACCTGAAGACTGGAAGAGGGCCAGTGTAGTGCCTATCTTCAAGAAAGGGAGGAAAGGCGATCCATGAAACTACAGACCAATCAGTTTGACCTCAATCCCTGGAATGAACTTGGAAAATATTATCAAATAAACCAGCACAGGTTTGTTGTGGGTAGGTCTTGCTTGACCAATCTCATTTCCTTCTATGACCAGGTGACGTATCACCTGCACAAAAGGGAAGAGGTTGATATCATATATTTGGATATTAAAAAAGCCTTTGATCTGGTGTCCCATGATGTCCTCACAGAAAAACTGGGCAACTGTAGCCTCAACTACCCTATGGTCCGATGGCTGGGCAACTGGCTCCAAGGTTGGACTCAGAGAGTGGTAGTTGACGGAACTGAATCAACATGGTACTCAGTGACAGTGGCTCTGATCTCTGAACAGAGACTCTGTTCTTGGAGCTGTACTCTTTAATGTAAACTATATGGACTCTGGTGTCAGAAGCAGACAGGCCCAGTTCACTGATGACACCAAAATTTGAGGAAGAGTATTCACACTTGAGGATAGGCTCGTGATCCAGGGCAACCTCAATGGACTTGCAAGGTGGGTGGATGAAAACCTGATTGCATTCAATATGGAGAAATGCAAGGTGCTCCACCTTGGGGGGGAAAAAACCCACATCACACTTACAGGCTCTGCAATGCTACACTCACTAGCACCACAACCAAAAGAGACTTGTGGGTCATGATCAACCACAAGATGAACATGAGCCACCAATGCAATACAAAGTGAACAAAACTCTGGCTTGCATCTACCGATGCATCTCAAGCAAGACCCAGGGTGTCATCCTCCTGCTGTGCTTGTCCTTGGTGAGGCCACAGCTAAAGTACAGCATCCAATTGTGGGCTCCACAATTTAGGAAGGAGATGGACAAACTTGAAAGAGTCCAGAGAAGAGCCATGCACCTTATCAGAGGGCAAGGAAACAGGCCTTATGAAGAGAGGCTGAGAGCCAAGGG